CCATATCATTTCTCATAGTTCACTAAATAATGAATAGTTCAACAACTGAAGAAAGAATAGCCATTAAATTACGATATCAGGTGAAGGTAATAACTTAATCCTTTTCATTTGAATTTGGATCCCCTGTTGTTAGGACTGCTGTTAAAGGTACATTTTCCGGTGTTGGTGAATTTGATCGAGTAGTATTACTTGATGGTACCACGAAAACCGGAGTTGAATGTGGATCAGGCGAAGATGAACGAGCGACTTGTCTAATATTTATAGAAGGAGCAAGCAGGTTAAGTAAAACAACCAATTTAAGTGAAGAATAAAAATGTGATAAATTCATGTTTTTTTTTTAACATACATTGTACCAGTCTGATTTTGTTCATCTGCATTATTAGTACTAGTAATAGGAGACTCCAAAGTGTCCTCAACAGAATCGTCATTCCAAAGTGGTAGCCACCATCCGCCTCTTCTGCCATCCTCAGCCTTGATAAATCCACGAACATTTACAAGATTGGATAAAGGCGGTTTGGATTCAAGATTTGCGAAAAAGCTGGAAGGTGGCAATATCTTAGGAAGATATCCAAAAGCGTCTTTAAACCACAATTACCAAAGAAAATTTTATAACAGTGAGAACTTATAACAGTGAGAACTATATTCATAGTCAATAATACAATTAGGATTAAAAAAAAGCTTACAAAAATAACCAACAAATAGCCCGCATAGATAACTGACGAACCATTCACGTTGAAGCATGATCTCCAACAGCAACAACACCAGAGGATAAAAGTGAGACGGAACTCTGAAGAGACCAAAAATCCTGTATCCACAAAAGTAGAAAATAACTTATATTAATATGAATCAAATATATATATATATATATATATATATTTGTAAGAAATGAAATAACGATAATTACTCTCGCTCACTTCCAGCCAATTCCCTGCTTTCCCATACTACAACACCAAATACCCAAGTACTCAATCCTCCTATTTCAAGTCCTTTGTATTGGAAAATCAA